AGGCCCAGTATACACGCCTACTGAAAGAGATAGTGTATCTTTCAGTAGGCATATATACTAGTTGATGTCTTTCATTTTACTTTCTTGTCTAAGTGCTCTGGAAAGGACTTCCAGTACTATGTTGAATAAGAGTGGTGAGAGTGGGCACCCTTGTCTTGTTCCTGATCTTAGAGGAAAAGCTTTCAACCTTTCCCCACCGAATATGACATTAGCTGTGAGCTTATCATATATGACATTTATTATGTTGAGGTATGTTCCTTCTATACCTAATTTGTTAAGTTTTTTATTATGAATGGATGTTGAATTTTATCAAATGCTTTTTCCACGTCAGATACGTTCACCATAAACATCTTTGCAGCAAGCATTGGCTATAAGGCAATTTCATTGTAAAAGATAAAAGAACAAAAAATAAAAAAGGGACATTAACGAGGACATAATGAAACATGAAAAGTCAATAAAATTAAAAAGACTTTAGTGTGAAAAATAAAAATACATTGTCTTTGAAGGTTTTTTTTACAGTCTTATATATATTTTTTTTGTTTGTTGATTTGTCTTTTCATTCAGTGTCACACTTTTTTTTCACTAAAATATTTTCCTTCATTAAGAGAAGTATCAGTTTCCAACTAAAGAATACATAATTAATGGTTTCAAAGACTGAATTAGACGTGCCTCTTTCATATTTTCTATAGTTTGGTAAACTTTCAGTTTTGATGGGTGGGAGGGATGACTGTGCTCACTGAAAAATTGCAAAAACTGATATACTATCGTTTTCCATTATAGTATCTAATGTGACTAAGATTTACATAATATAAAATGGAAGTACTGCGAGAACTTTGTCAATGGAGGTTAGTGCATGATCTAGCTAACATTTATATCATATAAAAATGGGAGTACAGTGAGAACTTTCTCAATAGAGAAATGAAACCAAACTGTCAACCAGTTATTTCTTATAGCAAAATTGCCTTACAGGCAATTAGTTGTGCAGCAAAAATGTTTGTGGTGAAAACACTTGTGGTAAAAATGTTTATGGCAAAGATGTTTATGGTGAAACTACCTAGAACTTCTCATTCTGCATCTACTAAAATGATCATATAATTTTTTCTTTCTTTCTATTAATGTGATGTATCACATTGATTGATTTGTGTATGTGGAACCATCCTTGCATCCCAAATATAAATCCCCTTGATCATGGTGAATAATACTTTTAATGTGCTGAATTCGGTTTGCTAGTATTTTACTGAGATATCTATATTCACCAAGGATACTGGTCTGCAGTTTTCTTCTCTGTTATTGTCCTTCTCTGGCTTTGGTATGAAGGTGATATTGGCTTCATAAAATGAATTTGGAGTGTTTCCAGTTTTTTGGAAGTTTGAGAAGGATTGTTGTTAATTCTTTAAATGTTTGGTAAAATTTCCAAGTGAAGCCATCTGGTCTTGGGATTTTATTTATAGGGAGATTTGGATTACTGTTTCAATCTCCTCATTAGTAATCAGTCTATTCAGACTTTCCATTTCTTTTTCATTCAGACTTGGTAGTTTGTATGCTTCTAAATATTTTTCCATTTCTTCTAGGACGTCCAGTTTGTTGGCATATAGTTGTTTATAGTAGCCTCTTATGATTTGTTGTATTTCTGTGATATCAGCTGTAATATCTCCCTTTTCATTAAAATTTTGTTTATTTGGGTCCTCTCTCTTTTTCCATTAGTTAATCTAGCCAAAGACTTGTTGATTTTGTTTATCTTTTCAAAAAACCAACTCTTAGTTTGGATAATCTTTTCCACCATTTTCCTGTGCTTGATTTCATTTATTTCTGCTCTGACCTTTACTATATCCCTTCTTTCTGCTAACTGAACTCAGTCTTCTTTTTCTAGTACCTTAAATCACAGAGTTATGTTATTTACTTGGGTTCTTTCTCACTTCTTAATGTAGGCATTTATTAATATGTTTTTCTCTCAATGACTTTTGCTGTATCCCACAGGTTTTGGTGTGTTGTGTTTCCATTTTTGTTTGTCTTACACAAGTTTTGGTGTGTTATGTTTCCATTTTTGTTTGTCTTAAGATACTTTTTTACTTTCCCTTTAATTTCTTCTTTGATCTGTTGATCAGGAGAGTGTTGTTTAATTTCCATGTATTTGTGAATTTTCTAAGTTTCTTATTACTGATTTCTAGTTTCATATCATTGTGGTCAGAGGTATGACTGGTATGATTTCAATTTTCTTGAATTTGCTAAGACTTGTTTTGTGGCCAAACATATCTATCCTAGAAAATGTTCCATGTATACTTGAGAAGAATGTATGTTCTGCTGTTATCAGACAAAATGTTCTAGTGCTCAAATCTGCTGTTTCCTTATTAATTCTCTATCTGGATGATCTATCCATTGTTGATAGTGGAGTATTAAAGTCCCTACTCTTATTGTATTGTTGTTTATTTCTACTTTTAGCTCTGTTAGTTTTTATGTATTTAAGACCTCTGATTTTGGCTGCATAAATATTTACAATTGTCTTTCTTCTTGATGTATTGACCCCTTTATCATTATATAATAACCTTTTCTGTCTCTTATTTTTAGTTTAAAGTATATTTGTCTGATATAAGTATAGATACTTTTGCTTTATTTTGGTTACCATTTGCTTTAAATGCTTTTTCCATCCCTTCACTCTCAGTTTGTGTGCATTTAAGGCTAAAGAGAGTGTCTTATAGGCAGAACATCACTGCATCTTTTTTTTTTCAATCCATTCAGCCATTCTATGTCTTTTGGTTGGAGAATTTAATCTGTTTCCATTTAAAGTAATTATTGATAAGAAGTTACTATTGCCATTTTGTTGTTTTCTGATTGTTTTGTTCCTTGTTTCTTATCCTGCTGTCTTTGTATTTTGATATCTTGTTGCATCAGTATGCTTTGACTTCTTTATCATGTTCTTTCGTGTGATTACCACAGGTTTTTCCCTTGTGGTTATCATGATTCTCATATAAAATGTTAAAATTATAAGACCCTGTTTTACACTAATAATAACTTCGATAGAATTCCTAAGCTTTACGCTTTTACTTTTCTTCTCCCTTACATTTTGGATTATTGATGTCACAATTTATATTTTTTATATTGTGTAACTAGTAACAGGTTATTGTAGTCATGGTTATTTTTTACTACGTTTGTTTAACTTTTAAACTAGAGTTGTAAATGAAATATGTACCACCACTACCCTATTTCAGGATCCAACCTGACTATATGTTTATCATTACCAGTTAGTTTTATACTATCTTCTTATATTTTTATGATGTTAATTAGGGTCCCATATTTCCACTCAAAGAACTCCTTTTAGCATTTCTTGTAAGGCAGGTTGGTAGTAATGAATTTCCTCAGTGTTTGTTTGTTCAGGAAAATCTTTATCCCTCCATTTCTGAAGTACAGCTTTATCAAGTACAACTGGTTGCCAGTTTTTTTTCAGTATTTTGAATATGTCCCCACATTCTCTTCTGACATGAATAATATCTGTTGAAAAATCTGCCAATAGTCTTATGGGGATTCCTGGTATGTAACTTCTCTCTTTTCTCTTGCTGTTTTAAAAATTCTTCCTTTGATTTCTGACAATTTAATTATGACAGGTCTCTGTGTAGTCCTATTCAGGTGTCTTGGACTTGGATGTCTATTTTTACCCCCAAATTTGCAAAGTTTTTAAGGCAGGCATTATTGCTTTAAATATATTTTCTGTTGCTTTCCTTTTCCCTTCTTCTTCGGGGATTCCCATAATGCCATTATTGTTTCTTTTCATTGGTCCCATAATTCCTTTAGACATTCTTCACTCTTTTCCATTCTTTTTTTTTTTTACTCATCTGACTGGATAATTTCAATTGTCCTATCTTCCAGGTCACTGATTTTTTTCTTCTATATAGTTCAATCTACTTTTGAAGCTCTCTATAGAACGCTTCAGTTCAGTTATTGTATTTTTCATCTTTAGGGTATTTGTTTGGTGTTTTGGATGGTTTTGATTTCTTTGTTGAACTTCTCATTTTGTTCATGCATTGCTTTCTTAATTTCATTTAGTTGTCTGTGTATTCTTGAAGCTCACCAAACTTCTTTAAGAGGATTATTCTGAATCCTTTGACAGTTCATAGATGTCTATTTCTTTAGGATCAGTTATTAGAGTTTCATTAGTTTGCTTTGTTGTTGTCATATTTACTTGATTTTTCATGAGCCTTGATTCCTCACACGGGCATTTATGCATTTGGGTAAGTGGCTAAAGTTTTCTTTTAAAATAAATTTATTTAAGTCCCCCCAAGAGAGTCAATTTAAAGGAAAGTATTAAGTACATGTTAGAACTGGTAGCATGCGAAGATGGAAGTCATGAGAGAGCTATTGAAATGACTGAAGTTTGAGAAAGATTAGTCAGTCATATTAAGTCCAAGCCTCTTGGCCTGTAATCTATTGTTTACCTACTTATATTATATGCTAAATTAGGTCTCAGAGTTTACACAACAATCTATCACAGACTGTTATATTGTAGGACTGATTTTCCTTAAGGCTGCTTCTTTTTTTAAATATGGCAACAATGATCAATTATTTGCATTCTCCAAACATATACCACTTTCTAGCCTCCGGGCTATTACTTCTGTTTGAAATGTTTGGCTTCCCATCTCTACCTGTTGAAATCTTATAGTCCTTCAAAGTCGATGCTAAATGCAATCCCTTTCAGGTAGCCTTTCCTTATCATAAAATCAGACGAATTTCTTTCCCTTTCACAGTACCAATAGCACCTTCCCCCTCCACCGTGGTTCTTCTCATTACAGTTTTGGTGGTATTCTTGATATTCAAGTAATTATATTCTCCTACCAAGTAGATTTTAAGCATTTTCATGAGAGGGAAAAGAAGAGCATGAATTTTATTCATTTTTATATCATCATAGTACTTAACAAAGTGCCTTATATATGGACTAGGCCCATAATTAATATTTGCTAAGTTGAATTTAATTTTAATTTAATTTTAAGCAACATTTATGTGACACTTACAATTTTGCGCTTGATCATGAAAAGTGGGATTTTTGCATGAAGAGGGGTTGAGGACAGCTCTTTATGGACCGTTGATAAGTACAATCTTCTTTTGATGTTCCTTAAATCAGTAATTCTGAAAAAAGGAAAGGAAAGAAGAGAGAAAGATTTCCATCAATATAACAACCACATTTCTGAATAATCATTGAAATGATATAATTTATCATATAGGCCCTTCCCAACAGGGAGATCAAACACAGGATTTAAGAATTGCCTTTTTCTTCAAGAAGTAATAAAATTTCTTCCTTAAATTCAAAGTGCTCACAAGCTTGAACGTATAAATTCACTTAATATGCTAATTTATTTCAGTACTTTATACAAGATTTCCACAGTCTTCTAGCATATGAAAAATATTTCAATTTGTATGAACTGAGAAACTGCTTGCCTTTAATAACCATGCCTGTTCCAGCCCCTTAAGCTTCTGTCATCTTGGGACATACTGTCACCTACTAAATAGGAAAATATTGGATTTCTTTTTTCTAAAAATGCACCTGTCATTTTATATAGGCTTTTAGTCTTAGAGACAGACACAAAACACTGTTGGTTTCACTTCCTAGTACCTATCTTTGAACCAGAATTATAATACACAAGTTTATTGCTCACTATTCAGGTCAACCCACAGTGATACCAAGGACACTGAATCTGAACATCTTTAATAGATTTAGACCACAGCCATGATCACAAAGATTAGGTTTGCTTCAAATTAATAGAGGCTCATTTTTATGTTCTGCTTCCTTTAAGTCTCGGAGGTAACATAGCAGGCTTAAAATCCTCAAACCTGTCTAGACTACCATACTATAGAATTGATGATTCCTGGAAGGCTATCTTTTTATTGGAGAATGGTGATTTTTGCTCCTATTTTAGCAACCTACTTTACATGTACTAACTGCTAATTTTCTACAATTAGCAATCCCCCAAGGAGACATTTCATTCAAATACACTGCTACCAATATTTATAATGTAATTACCTTTTAAAAAAATCAACAAAGCCTTTTCGGTAGCTCTTTCTTGCCTCCTCTTCCCACATTTTAAATCTCATTATTTCCTATCTCTAAAATACCATACATATTTTTCTGTAGAAAACTATTATTGAACAATGTTAAGAATAAGTACAGTAAAAATTAGATGAGATAATTTCAGAGTATGTCCACAGAGCTACAAATTTTACTCTACCTGCACTAAATGATGCCATAAATTCATTTAAAAAGCAATTATGTCTTTAAATTTATAGTTAGAGGTAAAGTTTAAAATACAAAGTGTTAACACAACTGTAGTTTTACATTTAGGTGTATAAGTAAATGCAGTATAACATTTGCCCCAAGGCAATGTCTTCAAAGTGAGATGAGCACATGGGGAAGAGGGGTGTTACACAACCATCCACTGAGGTGCAGGAGGAAAAAATTAAAACTATCTTTCATCTCATTCTTTTAAAATGTTACTTCTGAGCACATTTCATTATATAGTAGTACAGCAGCTGTTTATACTTTTTTGAAATAAATAAATGTACCTATGTGGTTGGGGTGCTCAAACATTTCACCAATAGGGTCCAGGATCAAATATATTTGGAAAACATTGTCATAAGTAATTCTATTAGGTCTCTTCTGTAAGAAGTTTTAATTAGGGAACAGAAGGAAAGACTATATAGAGATTCTAGAAAGGAAAAGAGAAAAAAAGTTCCCTTGTATCAAACAAAAAGTTTGATTGTATTAACCAAAAACTCATTTGAGACAGTTTTATTCAAGGTTTGCTTTACTTATAGAGATAAGACTATGTCATTTTAATTTGAATTAGGTAAAGCTCAAACTCTAAACAGGAACGTTTGAGTATATTACCACTTTATCAACATATAGAATAAGAGGAACATTTGTTCATTTATTCCTTCCATTCACATGTTCGATATTTACTGAGCCAAGTAATATCCTGGGAATACATTGAGAAATACAACAGTGAAAAAAAAAAAAAAAGGCAAGGTTTCTACCCTCTTGGAGTTCTATACTAGTGGAAAAGGCAGCTGAAAAAGTATAGACAAATACAAGTATCATATGAAGAAAACAAATGAGAGACTGAACTAGAAAATATCAAGAAATGACCTACTTTAGACAGTAAAGCCAGCAGGAGTAGGACCTAGTAAGTAAGGAAGGGACATGAAATAGGGAGAGACATGAAGTAGAAATAGTAGGCAACAGCCAAATTATGCAGAGTTTTCATGACAAGGTAAGGGGTTTATAAATTTATTGTTTATAATAGGAAGACATTAGTGAGTCAACTATGATCCTGCATGATAAATGGGTATTTATCTCTTTTATTTCTTTATTGGGGTAAAATTTGTGTAATTGAAATGCACAGATTTCAGTGTACAATCTCGTGTTTTTTCATAAACGTATACACACATCTAATCATCACTTCAATCAAAATATAGAACATATCCATCACCCTAGAAAGTTGCCTCCTGGCTCCTTTGATTCAATACTCACTCCCGATTTCTATCATCATGGATAAGTTTTATCTGTTCTTGAATTTCTTATAAGTGGAATGGTATAGAATATATTCTTTTGTCATTGGCATCTTTCACTTAATATATTTTTGAAACTCATCCATGTTGTACTATGTACCAATAGTTCTTTTTTTCTTAAAGTGCTGAGTCTTGTATGGCTATACAGTTCATTTAACCATTTTCCTGTCGATGGACATTTATTTCCAATTCTAGTTTCTTATGAAAACCTGTATGCAAAAGCTTGTAGAGTCTTCTTGTGGACATGTATTTTCATTCTCTTGATAATTAGGAATGAGATTACTGGGTCATTGGGGTATATATATAACCTTATAAAAACAGTTCTCCAAAGCAGTTGCAGTGATTCCATATCCTCACCAACTTTTGGTGTTATCAGACTTCACTTGCTAGTTTTAGTGGGTATGAAATGGATACCACTGTGATTTTATTTGTATTTCTCTTATGAATAATGACATTGAATACTTTTACAGGTATTTACTAGTATATCTTGTGAAGTACCTGGTTAAGTCTTTTACTTAATTTTTATTGGGTTGTTTTCTTATAATTGTAAAAGTTCTTTATATATTTTGAATACATGTTCTTTGTTAGATATAGGTATTATGACTATTTTCTTACCAATTATCTTAATATCTTTTTTTAAAATTTTTATTTGGAAATAATTACTAACTTAGGGAATAGTGTCAAAAATAGTACAGAAAGTCCTATATGTTTTATCTAGATTAACATTGCTTAATGATGACTTTTGATTAGCAGTTTTTAATTTTCATGAAGTCCAGGTTATCATTATTTATAGTAGTACTTCCTATGTCCTAAAAAGATCCTTGTCTAGTCAAAAGTTGCAGAAATACCTTCCTATGTTTCTTTTTAGATACTCATAGTTTTAGTTTTTACATTTAGTCTATAATACACCTCTAATTAATTTCTGTGTATTGTGTGAGGTAGTAGTGGTTGTGGGTCTATTTCTTTGTGTATGTTTATCCAGTTGTCTTGGCACCATTTGTTAAAGACTCCTTTCCTCACTTAAATAAATGCCTTGCTACTTTGTTGAAAATCAATTGATTATAGGTATCTGTGGCTCTATTTCTGGACTTTATTGATCCATTTATTTCACTGATCTATTTATCCATTCTTATACCAATGTCATGCTGCCTTGATAATTGTAGATTTATGGTAACTCTAAAAAACTAAACAAAAAAGACTTCAACTTAGTTTTGTTTAAAGTTTATTTGGTCCTTGCTTTTCTGTAAAATTTTTAAGATCCACTTATTATTTTCTATTAAAAAGTTGTTGAAAATTTAACTTGGATTGTATTGAATCTATAGATCAATTCGGGAAGAACAATATTGTCTTCCAGTCAACTTATATATCTCTCTATTTATTTAGTCCTTGTTTAATTTCTTTCACAATGTTTTATAGTTTTCAATTTAGAAGTCTTACTCATCTTTTGTTAAATTTATTCTTAAGTATTTTGTTTTCTGATATGAAAATGAATTTTAAAATATCAATTACCAGCCAAATGCTATTAGTATGTAGAAATATCATTTTTTAAAAATTTTTATTTTACATAGACCTTGTTTCCTGTGACCTTGCTTAGTTCACTCATGAGTACTAGTAGTTGTTTTGTAGGTTCCTGAAGATTTTCTACATAAATAATTATGTCTTTGGTAAATAAAGACTTTTACTTCTGCTTTTTTCAATCTTTATCTTTTTGTTTTCATTATTGTACTGGCTAGGACCTCCAGCATGTTCTATACAGAAGTGATGAGTACAAAACCTTACCTTGTACCTGATCGTAGGGGGAAAGTGTTTACCATGTTTCTATTAAATATGTCAGATGAAGGTTTCCTTTATCAGACTGAGGATGTTCTCTTCTACTTCTAGTTCTTTGAGAGGTTTTTTTTTAATAATGAAAGAGTATGAAATTTTATCAAATGATTTTTCTGTACTGATTAAGACGATCCTATTGATTTTCTCCTTTATTCTTTCCATTCATCTGTTAAATTACACCGATCTCAAGTGTGAAACCAACCTTGTATTCTTGATGTAAATTTCAACTGTGCTAGCATTTTGTTGAGGATGTTTACACGTATGTTCATGAGGGACATTGGTCTGTAATTTACTTATCTACGTCAGGTTTTGATAACAGAGTTAAGTTAGTTCTGTAAAGTGATCTGGGAAGTGTTTCCTCTTCCTGTATTGTTTGAAATTTTGTTTATAATAGTGCTAGTTATTCTTTAAATGTTAGTAGAATTCATCTAACTCTGAAGTTTGCTTTGTGGGGAGATTATGGTTACAAACTCAATTTCTTTAATAGATTATAGGGCTAGTCACATTTCTAATTTTTCTTGTTTCAGTTTTGGTAAATTATGATTTTCACTTAAAGTTGCTGAGTTTATTGCCATAAAGTTGTTCATATTATTCCCTTCATTATCTCTTTAACATCAGTAGGATCTGTAGTGGTATTCCCTCTCTCATTCCTGACATTGGTGATTTGTGACTTCTTTCTTCTTTTATTAATCAATCCTGCTGTCAAGTTTATCTTTTTAAAGAAACAACTTTCGGCT